TACACTCACCAGTAAGATGGAGCTTTACATCGAATGTATTTTTTGCAGCTAAAAAAGTAAGTGCAGTTGAAAGGCAACTGAAGAAGGAAGAGGAAATTTTAGAAAGTGTAGCAGAAAAGAAAGCTCTTATGGGAGTTTCAGAATTAGCCAAAGGTATTCAGTATAGTGAACCTATCAAAACAAGGTAAGAAACTTATTAAAAGTATTTTTTTTATTAATTATATTCTAATTGTTTTCATCCCTTTATTAAAAGTATCTTGTGTACTGTAATGATCTTGCAATGTTCTTTAGTTTTTATTTTCATTTTCCCTCAGTTTGGTGTTTTAAAAAATCTTTTATGTTTCAGCTGGCATCCTCCTCAATATATATTGGACTTACCTCCAGGAAGACATGAGAGGATAAGAAGAGATCTAAGAATTTTGGTAGAAGGTGAAGATATCCCACCTCCATTAAAATCTTTTAAAGAAATGAAATTTCACAAAGCCATTATAGAAGGACTTTCAGAGAAACAAATAAAAAAACCAACACCAATACAAATTCAAGGGATTCCTACAGTGTAATATATTTTTAACATTATTATAAAAAAATAAGATACCCTATTATAATATTATTATTTTAAATCCTTAGATTATCTGGACGAGATATGATTGGAATAGCATTTACTGGTTCTGGAAAGACCCTTGTGTTTGTACTTCCACTGTTAATGTTTTGCTTAGAACAGGAGATAGCTTTGCCTTTTGTAAGAAATGAAGGACCTTATGGTCTTATCATTTGTCCTTCCAGAGAATTGGCAAAACAAACTTATGACATCATACAACACTTTTCTGGTCATCTTAGGAAAAGTGGTATGCCTGAAATTAGAAGCTGCCTGGCTATAGGGGGAGTACCGGTCTCAGAATCTATTGAGATAATCCAAAAGTAAGTTGAAATAATATCAAACCTTGATTACTGATTATCTATTTGTTGTTTTCAGGGGTGTACATATAATGGTGGCAACTCCGGGTAGGCTAATGGACATGTTGGAAAAAAAAATTGTACGATTAAGTGTATGTCGATATTTATGCATGGATGAAGCTGATAGAATGATAGATTTGGGCTTTGAAGAAGATGTTAGGACCATATTTTCATACTTCAGTGTAAGTCACCTTTTAATGTTTCTCAAATCCTCTAATAACATTACTTTTTACAGGGTCAGCGCCAGACTCTTCTTTTTTCTGCTACAATGCCGAAAAAAATTCAAAACTTTGCTAGGTCAGCTCTAGTCAAACCAGTTACAATAAACGTTGGTAGAGCAGGAGCTGCTTCAATGAACGTGATTCAAGTAAGAGCGTTTTTTAACTATTTCGTTATTGATTTTCATCTTTATTGTTTAAAATATTCCCTATTTAGGAAGTGGAATATGTTAAGCAAGAGGCAAAGATTGTGTATCTGTTAGAGTGCCTCCAAAAGACTCCTCCACCAGTTTTAATTTTTGCTGAGAAAAAACAAGATGTGGATGCAATACATGAATATTTACTGTTGAAAGGAGTAGAAGCCGTGGCAATACATGGTGGAAAAGGTAAATTGTAATAAGAATTTGGTTGCAATAATGCATATTAACTTTTTGTTTTTTAACTACAGATCAAGAAGAAAGGTCCAGGTCAGTAGATGCATTTCGAAAACAGCAAAAGGACGTTTTAGTAGCCACTGACGTTGCTTCAAAAGGTTTAGATTTTAGTAACATTCAACACGTAATAAATTATGATATGCCTGACGATGTAGAAAATTATGGTAAACTATTTAATGCAATTATATTTACAGCTGTAAAAAACTTATTTTTTTTAGTACATAGAATAGGAAGAACTGGACGTTCTGGAAAAACTGGTTTAGCAACTACTTTTATTAATAAATCCACTGATGAGTCGGTTCTGTTGGATTTGAAACACCTCCTCATGGAAGCTAAGCAAAAGATTCCAACGTTCCTTGCAGAACTGTGTTCCGAAAATGAAAAATATCTTAATCTTGGCGGTAAAAATAATTTTTCTATATCTCTTTTTTTTTTTAATACAAAATATTGTTTCAGACGAGAAAGGTTGTAGTTATTGTGGTGGTTTGGGCCATAGNGGTAAAAATAATTTTTCTATATCTCTTTTTTTTTTTAATACAAAATATTGTTTCAGACGAGAAAGGTTGTAGTTATTGTGGTGGTTTGGGCCATAGAATTACAGATTGTCCTAAACTGGAGGCTCTTCAAAATAAACAGGCCTCAAATATTGGAAGGAGAGATTACTTGGCCAATACTGCTGCCGATTATTAGATATTTAAACTGACTTTTAATAAGATTTACGCAGGTGACTAATTTTATTTTATTTTTAAAAATGCGATATTTGCAGTCGACAAAGAAATAATTGATTTCATGTATTTAATGTAATATATAATACATCATATTTTTATTATTATTTAATATTGTCACAATTACAGTTTTATTCGGTCATTTATTATGTCATATTATTTTTAAAAAGAAAAATAATTTATTGGTGCAATATGCGAAACTATTTGCTGTTTTCCTCTCTGTTACTGACATTAAAAGCAAAAAATACCGGTAAAGAAAATAATCATTACGAAAACAATTTTGCTTTATTAAAATTATAAAAATATAGAAGCCATAGAATATGATCCTAGGGAAATGC